GAGATAAAGATAGATAGATAGACAGAGAGAAGACATTTGTCTACACTAATACATCTTAACTCACGAAAGGTTCATCAGTAGAGAAGAGACCATAGAAACTTAATGACACAGAATAAGCAGGAAGGAAAGTAAGACCTTCCCTGGCATCAGGCAAATGGCTCATGCAGAACTTTAATTTTTGAAGTTAACTCAAATCTTCCTTCCTTGCTTGAGAACATGGATTGCTCATTGCCTTCCTCAACATTAACATAATTGTGTATGTTCTTCATGGACGTATGGATGGTGAAAAAACTATTGCACACACACACACGTTCATCTATATATACATATATATATATATATATATATATATATATATATAATATATATATATATATATATATATTATATATTTATATATATATATATATATATATATATATATATATAATATAATATATATATATATATATATATATATATATATATATATATATATATATATATATATATATATATATATATATATATTATGTACACACACATACACACACACACACACACACACACACACACACAACACACACACACACACACACACAACACACACCACATATATATATATATATATATATATATATATATATATATATATATATATATATATATACATATATATGGTGTATATATATATAATATATATATAAATATATATATACATAACAGGGTTACAGAACCCAACACTACTTTGTCTGCCAGTACTCACCTTGCATCACTGGGGCACTGCCCGTCTGGAGGTTGGGCTTTGAGCCCCGTTTGCGTAGCAGAAAGGTCTTGCGGTAGAGAGACGAGCTCAGAGGAAGTGACGTGCGGGGAGGGCCGCAAGGAGCCTAGTGGGAAAGACACACAAGAGGGTGCCGCACCGTGCCACAGCCGCAGGCAAGACCCGGTCCGACACAGAGGTAGGGAAAGGAGAATTCAGAGTCAGCATGGAAAGGAAGGTAAAAGGGAGAGAGGTAAAGAGACAGCAGAAGGCAGCAGAAGGTGGGAGGTTGTGAGGGGAAGAGGAGGGGAGCAATCAGGAGGACAAACATCAGTAGCAGGCAACCATTATATAGCTCTATTGATGGGTACTGTAGCACTAAAAAAGAAAAGAAAGAGAAAGAGAGAGAGAAAAAAAAACTTTGACAGAAAGAAAAAATTTACATGAAACAAATTAGACGTAACCACATCACAACAAGACTAACAATAGTAGGTAGACTTTTTCTCTAGAAATGTATAAAAAGTAATTAAATATTCATAATCAAGGTGATTATCTTTGAATATCATAAAGAAACACAGAAAAGACCTTGAAAAAAAAAATCCTTTTTGTGGAATTAATACACAAGAAATTATTAGAACTACAGTATTCCATCTATAGTTGGCTAGATATAGAATACTGTAGAGAGTACAAATGTACCATTTAAAAGAACCAAGCTATATATCAATTGAAATAAGTAAAAAGTAATGAAAAAAAAAGAGTGAGTATATAGCAATAGTCCTTTTACAATTTAGTTCAAAAGTACGGCTCAGTATTCCTATTTGTCCAGCCTTTAGTGCAACAAATACAGTAGACCAGCTAGGGTATAAGAGCTTTAAGAAATTGCCTAAACATATAGTGTTGATTATGGACCAGTTTTATAGGGTAGCTAAAAGACAACATGGACATTTCTCATCTATAATTTGGGTTTTAAATTTGCATTTTTAGTATTACTATCACAAATCATCTCATGTATATCAGTAACTGGAAACAGATTACAGTTTAAAAAGCAGGAGTTTTAGGTTTTTAATACTTAAAAAATACAGATATCACATGTAAAATACATTATGTTTTAGGGTTCACGCTACACCATGCTAGGGCAAGTCAAATCTAATTTCAATTGGAAAGGTGCTTGTGAAAACAAAGCAATCAATTTTTATGTAATCAGTTTGCATGAAACATTTTTTTCAACAACATACCGCACTATATATTTGGTCGAAACGTGCACACCAAAATTATTAAATACAGAACTAAAAGGGTTAATCATTTCATGCTGCACTGTCTTTTAACAGATTTCATGTCCTGTGTTGCTGAATATGACGCTGTCCCTTGTGTGTATTTTCCAAAGACAAATAATATGAAAAATTAAATACTTGAATTTGTATCAACTTGTACTAGTTACAATTGATAATTGATAGAATTGTGCTTATAAATAATTACTACTATTTTTTCTTAATGTACAAATGTTACATATATAGTGAGTAATATATCATACACTGAGTATTGTAGAAGAAATTTTCATTGGCAAACTGAGTTTAATAATATAAAAGGAAAGGTTATACCGATGAAAACAAACAAACAAACACATTTTAGGCTGTGTAAAGTACATCATGGTGCTGATATAGTTGCAGTGTGTCTATTGCTATTCAAACCACATTCAGAAACCTCATTTTTTAATAATGCAAGAAAAAGGGGATTATCAATTCTAGCTTGGAGGAAACATCACATATAATATAATAGAGATGTGGTTAATTAGAAAAGTGTGGGATAGTAGTGCAACCAGGGCCAAAGATCAGCAAAACTTACATTAAACACAAAACGGTTTATGTCATAAGAACATGCTTATAGACCTTTTTGGAAATCTGCTTTAGTAACTTACCATGAATTCTGAAGGTGTAAACATCCCAGGCCTGAACACTGGTGTCAATATTATACAAAAAGTGCAATGCTGAGATTTAATCAAATTTGCAATGGTGAAATAATCAATTTAAAGAATAATTAAATAAACACTAGAGTGCACGTGTATAAATATTAATGGAATGAAAGATTAACAGTGCTTACCTCTATCTACTTATCTATGATACTGGAACACGACTAAGAACACAACAATATACAAAATATACGTATCAGAACTCTATAATCAGCCTTTTTCAACAGGTATGATGCTTAATCTATATACTGTGAATATGCCATATTTACCAATCAATTGTTGAATTAGGATCTTCATCTTCTTATAAATGAGAAATTCATGAATAAATAAGTCCTATTTACTAATGCTGCCCATTAAAAAACATTCCACATCTTGTTATATATATATTGCATGCAGGTTATTTTTGTATCTTAGAGCAGCAGTGTATGCTACAAAAATCTTCAATGGAATAGTGTGAATATCATAATTTCATACTGCTTAGTCTTATATATGCCATTCTCTTTGTAAATTTCATTATTCATGTGTCTAAGTATATGCGTATGCACATTTCCATGCCCAATCCAAATATACACCATTCTTGAACTCCATCCCAATCAAGCACACACACACACACACACACACACACATTCACACACACACACACTCACACACACACACACACACACACATATGCAAGCACATACACACACATTTCATGTTTGCTTCATACAAGTACTCACACCTATACACCTATACACACACACACACACACACACACACACACACACACACACACACACACACGCACACACACAAATGCATGAATGCACACGCACACTACACAAACACGCACACACACACACACACACACACACGCTAACATGTATTTTATGTTAACTTCATACAAGCACTCTCTCTCTCTCTCTCTCTCTCTCTCTCTCTCTCTCTCTCTCTCTCTCTCTCTCTCTCTCTCTCTCTCTCTCTCTCACACACACACACACACACACACACACACACAACAAACACACACAATTTCACCTTTGTTTCATACAAACACTCACACCTACAAACACACACACACACACACACACAAACACAAACATGTATTTCATGTTCGTTTTGTACAAGCACTCACACCTGCACATACCCATACACCCACACACATACCTGCACACACTCACACAAAAGCATACATATATGTATTTCATGTTTGTTTCATATAAAAACTTCAGCCTGCACACACACACACACACACACACACACACACACACACACACACACACACACACACACACACACACACACACACACACACACACACACACACACTCACACACACACACACATGCACACACACATACACAAAACTTGAATAACACTGGCATTATGTTTTCAGTCAAAAAAGATGAACATTACATAACATGATACAGAATTTTCCGCATCTTCAAAAATGTCAATATGCAACATGCATTTATGGGTTTGTAATCTAGATCACTATTCTGTGACAGAACACAGGATTACATTTAAGAACTCCATCTTTAACAAAAATTAAATTACTATCTATACTGGACTATATATACACAAAGATGAGAACTGATCACTATTAAAAAAAAAAAATAAATAAATAAAAGTAAAAAAGTTCTATTTGTACAACTACCAACCCAACTACCAACTACTCGGATTAACTAGAAAACGGGAGGAAATACACAGGTCTTGAAAAACGAACTGTTCCAGGGTGATCGGTCGGCAGCCTCGACAGTACCTTTACGTGCAATGTGGGTCTCCCCAGCATAAGATGTCCTTCTGGGGGCTGTGGAGGCCGAGAGGTGAGGGTGCTGGGACTCGTTGGAAGGAGGGGGTTCATTACGTGGCTCGGAACGAACGGACAGATCGCGATGGAGTGCAAAGGAACCGCCGGTGCTGCTACTGGACACCGAGCCTGTTTTTTTCCCCATAGTCACGAGGGAAGAGGAGGAGGAGGATGGGATATGGTGGGTCAAAGTGGGTGAAGGATTACCTTTTGGTCGGACTGCGAAACGCTTTACTCCTTTAAGGTGTAGTTTTTCTGCAACTGACTTAAAGGGAAGTGCCATTTGGCCTTTCTGTTTCCTTTCTTCAGGCTTGTAACTAATTTTCAAATCTTTCCATCCAGTGCAAAAATACTGAACAAGAGAAAAACAATATGATCTGCAGCTCATGAATAAGAAAAGCCATTGAAGCTTTTTAATATACAGAAAATTATTGTCAATACTATCATTATCATCATAATCATTATCATAATCTATTTTGCTATCAGTATGATGAACATTGCTTTCTTTAAACCATTAGAATGATAATAATAATGATAATCATTATCAACTAAAGTATCATCATTATCATTATAATATCATCATTATTATTATCTTCCATACCATCATTAGCATTAGCATTATAATATCATCATTATTATTATCTTCCATACAATCATTATTATTAGCATTTTAATCAGCAATACTAACTGCTGCTCTAATCACTATTATTATCATTATTATTATTAGAACCATCACCATCATTACATTATTATTATTACTGTAACAATTATCATTCTTATTGACATTGCTTTTTTGATTAGAATATGCAATTTCTGCAACTTTTTTCTCATTAGAAAAGTAAAATCCCTTTTTCTTAGTAACCCTCAATATGCTGCTCTGTATCTACCTTGCAGTTAACCCTCTTGGTACCACATCCAACCCATAACGATCTTGAGTGTGAATGACAGCTCTCTTGGGCTGAAGCTAACATTTACAAGAATACCTTCAACCATCTAAGAATTCTGAAGTATTACTGAATTTGATTGCAAAAGCACACTCTATATTGCTTCCTTAGTTCAGACTACATCTCCAAGCAACAACCAAACAGCCTGCAACCCTTTTTCTTGTCAAGATACAAAAAATATTGTGATTCACCATGAAAACTAAATATTTGTTTCCTCATATTTGTGAAAATATATCTAATTTCAATTAATTCTCTCTAGGTGTATGTGATAATTTCCTATAATGTACAGTATGCATATAGTTACCTGTATTAGCTGTGCATTGGCAATTACTACTGAGAACTCTTTTTTTTATTATTATTACCTTACATAAAACAGATGTCACACATATATTCTCTGAAATTCGGTGCATAATAAAATCCTATAGCTATTGTGTCCATGAGAAAAAAAAGAGGAGAAAAAAAAAAAAAATGTTAACATTTTATAACCTTTAACACAGGGATACAAACTGGTGGAAATTTTATTAACAGACAGACATGAATGAAAAAAAATCAAAACAGAAAAGAAAAAAAAAAAACACTAAATGTACATTACCTGTGAGAAATTCAGAAAAGTTCAGTTTCAAATACGTTTCTTGATATCATAAATGTTGTATGTGGAGGAGGGGGGGGAGGGTGGAATATGCACTTGTAAAAGGTCTTATGAATAGGGAAGATAAATGACTGGAAACACACCAATGCTTAAGCCATCCAATATCACATTTTCATGAACATAACATGGACAAGCACAGAACAAAAACAATAAAAAAGGAAAAAAAAAAAAAAAAAACATTGCATACAAGAGAGCAAAGAATTTGGAAATGCAAGTCAGTCAATGCAAACAGTTCTTTGATTAAAAATTTCTGATTTAGAGCATTCAACGAATTATCATAGTTCTTTAAAGATTAACATATTCAACTTCAATATCATTCACTGAAGAGTTCTGAATTCTTAGTTATTAAAGTCTATCACAATATTTATATCCAGTCTTGAATTAAAAAATGCTATAAGGTCCCTTTAATCAATTAGCAAATGACAAATACCTCCCAGCATGCAAAGCCTAAACACTTATAGGTGCAAACCTGCTTTGTGACACCTAAAAAAGGAAAAGGAAAGAAAGAAAGAAAGAAAAAAAGAACAAAAAAAACTCAAAGGCAACTTAAAACAAATCACAACATTATCCCATGAATCATCTACATACCCTTTGACCTGAGAGGAGGTGATGTAAGGGGCCTGGTTGGGCACTCGGAAGGAGGCCCTGCGTAGGATAAGCGTGGTCGCCTGGATATGTGAGACACTTCACTTTGAATTTCCAGTGCTGATGGTCGCATGTCCAACTCTCCTGTATTGAAAGAATGCATTAACGTGTAATTTGTGTTTATTAATTATTATTCTGCCAAGGGAGGATCAACAAAATTCTATGTAGAATTCGAGTACTTTTTAATTTCTTAAGCCCCATTACAGATTATGTTACATGATCAGAAGGAAAATACTATCTGCACTGATAGCCTTTACATTGTAATAAAACTAACAAAATATATACAACAATCAGTGCTAGATTTGGACATATAAAGGCTGTTGGGGTATCCTCATTTGTGGATTCTCATTCTGCCATAGAATACTTGTTGATTATAATGAAAACCAGAGAATGAGATGAATTGAATATCTGTTCTGACTACTACTCAGTAGCATACTTTTTTTTAAACATGATTTCCATCTGAAATTACTGGAGGCCCCTGGTTGTGGAGGCCACTTCCCAGTTTCTAAATTTGGCCTTGATAATATGGATGAATGCACTTACCTGATATCTTTGCATTGATGACCTCCTCTTTGAGCTGTTTGACCTGATGTGCAAGGTCAAGAAGGATGGAGCCTCTACAACGTGGTGGAGGGAGTGACCAGCCATGAACACGGTCACGAATTATCATCTGATACTGCTCACTGCCATCATCTGCACACTGCTGGTGGAGCTGTATGTAAAATGTATGTAAAATGTAATATCTTTAATTTGTAAAGTCATTTA